CCTGGATCTGGTCTCCAACTGATGTATTGAGGTAGCTGAGCTTTAGGCGACTGGCAAACAGATCTGTGTTGCAATTTGTAAGGAAGGGTGTGATTACCTTTGGGTCGAGTAGCCAGTTGCTGGAATCTAGAAAGGTACGAGACCCTTGGTCGGCTATAGTATTTTCTTTTCCAGGGACATGCTGTGCAGAAATGAGGATGTCTCTGTGAAGACACCAGGTCCATATCTCCAGAGTTAAGGACATCAGAGGGACTGAGTGGGTACCTCCCCTGTTGTTTATGTAGGCAACTGCGGTGGAGTTGTCCATCTTCAATAGTACAACCGTGTGAGACTGGCCCTTGAGGAATGTTTTTAGGGCAAGAAATGCTGCTTTCTGTTCCAGTAAGTTGATGTGTCGAGTTGATTCCTGACTGGACTATTTGCCATTGGTGGATTTGCCCTGACATGTTGCGCCCCAGCCTAACACAGAAGCGTCCGAGAGAATCGTTAGATCGCGAGGTGGGGGAGAAACAGGGCTGCCGTTGACCTGGTTTAAATTGGGCATCCACCAGGTTAGTTCTGCCCAAGCTTGGGAGTTGAGTGTTAGTTGACAGTTGAAATTGAACTGGCGGTCTCTCAAGGTTTGTATTAACAGAATTTGAAGAGCCCTGAGATGCAAAGGGGCTACCCAAATGGCAATAAGACAAGACTCCAGGGTGCCTAGAAAAGGTATGTTATTGTCTGAGTTGGGGACAGTGTTGATTTCGTCCAGTTTATGAGGAAGCCCAGTGATTGCAATGGAGTTAATGTCATTCGAGTTGGATGTTGAGCTTCCTCCTTGGAGGAGCCAAGGTGAAGGAAGTCGTCTAAGTATACTATGATTCGGTACCCCTGCTTCCTGAGGAAGGCGGCTACAGGTTTCAGAAGTTTGGTGAAGATTCGGGATGTTGAACTTAGTCCAAAAGGGAGACCCTGAAAGGCGTAGCGTTTGCTGCCCCAGATGAAACGAAGAAACCTTTGATAGGATTCGTGCATGGGAACGGAAAAAAAGGCGTCTTTTAGATCGATACTTGTCATGCAGTCTCCCATCTTGAGAAGGGTTTTATACAATGAAGATTTTCCATCTGGAAGTGAGAGTTGCGGACCAATCGGTTTAAAGAACTCAACTCTATTACAGTCAAGTCCCTTCTTTCTTGGGAACAAGGAAAAGGCGGCTGTAGAAGCCCTGGTCTGAAGGGTTGACCTCCTGAATAGTTCCTTTCTTTAACAGTTCCTGGACTTCTGCATTGCTCAACTGACTTTCTGATAGACCTGCTCTTGCAACAGGAGGGTAAGACTGAACTGGGGGTGAATTAAAATCTACTTGAAAACCCTTTACAATACTTAGAATTTCTCGGTCTGAAGTTATTTGCTCCCACTGGGATAGGTGTTGGTTGATTCTTGTTGGGCCGTCCTTCGAGGACGAAAAAACGGTTTTTTGCACGGGTTCGGGCATACTTTGTAGAGTGGAAGGTGTGTCGCATTGGGGCTGTTCTAGATCCAAAACGTTGGGAAGGGCCAGATCTCTGTGGAAATTGGCGCCCTGTATTTGATGAGAGGGTTTTAGAGAGGCCACGTGATAGGTCAGCCTGCTT